AGAGGCACTCTTGCTGTTGGGCTCAGCCTTGGCCAGCAGCAGGCTCATCTTGGAACCAGCTGGCCTTGGCTCTATCAGCCTATGGGAAGCTTCTGGCAGCTTCTCAGGGAAGCCACCCCTGTAGCCCCCTCACCAAAACATTGATAGCAAACCAAATATATGTAGTCAGGCTGGTGATCAATGTAAGTTAGTTTGTTTTAAACAATAACTATACTTTTCCTTAATTTATTTTTTCTACTTGAAGACCTTCAGTGACATCTTCAGACATGAATTATCACCTAGAGGAAGAAACTATTACTGGTCCCATCTTTAAGATCAGAAAATAATTTAAAAAGTAAGAGATTCCAAGGAGAGATTTAAGTCCTACTTACATCTCAGAACAAAAGTAATACATTCAGTGTTTACTGAGCAAATCAAACATGCACTTTTGACCTGGATGCATAGGTTAAAGCTTTCTGCTAACAATGAGGGTTAACAAGTTGCAAATATGACTCCATTTAAGCAGTTGATTCTCTCAAAAGTGATGAGCCTGACACGTCCTGTTACACACAAACAGAAACCACAGGAGCATATGCCCATGATAAAATACTTTCTTTTCACACCACATACTGCATCATAGAATGGTTCGGGTTGGAAGAGACCTTCAAGATCATCTTTCTCCAGCCCCCCTGCCATGGGCAGCTACACCTTCTGCTAGCCCAGGTTGCTCAGAGCCCCATCCAGCCTGGCCTTGAGCATTTCCAGGGATGGGGCATCCACAGCTTCTCTGGGAAATCAGTTCCTGTGTCTCACAGTAAAGGATTTCTTAGAAATCCTTAATCTAAACCTCCCTTCTTCCAGTATGAAGCTGTTCACCCTTGTCCTGTCACTATGTGCCCTTGTACAAAGCCCCTCTCCAGCTTTCAGTACTTCCCCAGGTTTTAGGGCATGACAGCCCCTCAGAGCTGCAATGAAATCTCACTGACCAGGTGACGCTCTCATTGTACCATTTTTCCACTACACCCATGTTACTCCACACTTATCCCCACGGAGGTTTTGAAGCACGAATTCTCAGGAATAACTTCTCTTAGAGATGCCACAAGGGAACGCAAGAGAAACTTAAAAGGGTTTCAACCAGGCTAACTTAAAATAGCAATCCCAAAGATTGGCAGCTTAGATAGACTATTCCATCTCTAATTCACCAGCAGCTTTCATCTGAAAAGTGAGAAAAACAGAATTTTTTCCCCTTTAGGACTCTCCAGCACTTCATGGCTGGGCAGCTACAAGCCTGTACCCCCATCCATATTGAGCTCAACAGCAAAGGTACGAGCAAGGGATGGAAATAACCATCAACCCCCCACATTTGAATGGCTCACATCCGTGAAATACCTTCTCTTGCAAATCAGACCTTGTGGAAGGAGAAGGGAAAGGGGCAGACATTACAGCAGCTTTCCAAGAGCCTTGTCACTGTATTTGAATGCCGGTGACTTTGCAAGATAATGGGATTCAGGTCTAGATGCTGTAGCACAACTGGGAAACCCTTTCAGAGAATTTCTAAGGAGCAAGTTCATTAATCACCAGAATGCGCTTTAGGGCAGCTGATTGCTGTTTAGGGATTTCAGATGAAGATTTCACATTTATTTAATCATTCAAGTATTAAGACCTCAGCATGAGTCTGAAGTGGCAAAGTTCAACAGCTTTGTGGTTATGCAGGAGGCTGAGTTAGGCGAGCAAAACACCTCTAAGCTATTAGACACGGAAAGGATTTATTGACCTTTGAGGAATCACAGTTGTCTTGATATGACACAGATGTATCCAGCTTTCCTGACATTCCTGGGACACTAACCTTTTCAAAAAGATAAAATGCAAACCCCTAGGTTTCTACACTACAGAAGGCTGCTGCTTGTATTCCAAACACAACTTTGGAGTTTCCTGTAGGACAGAAATTTCAGTTGTGTCAGCTGCAAGAGAGCTTGCTTAGAAGAACAATCAAAAAAACATGAAAAAAAGATCATTGAAAACTTAACACGGTCTCCCACAGCACACAAGTCTCACCACCACCCCTGCAGACAGGAAAAAAACAACTACCTGCCTGTCAATTAGGAGAAAGTGTAACATAGCCTGAACAGCCTGATGCACACCGAGCCTTGATACTCTGCCATAGAATATTAAACCTTTGGATGCATAGCAGGCACACACTTAAACAGACCAGCTTTTTGAAAGTTAAAATAAATAAAATAATTGCCTCTAATTACTTTTAACATACCTTCATAGATTACTGATATTTTACTTCATTTACATTTTATTGAGTGTACATCAGCACTAAGGACATATTTATTTCAGAGGTAGGTTGTTTCCTGTTGTCTTTGCTGACAGAATAGCACCAGGCATTATTTTCTCTGTAGTATGGACTAAGGACAGCTTGTTGGCTTACCTAGGTTGACTCTAGAGGTAAGTAAATAAGAAGCAATAAAAATATCCTCACCTTAACAACTCCACTCTTGACAACCAGATGTCTAGGTGCCTGCAACTGCTAGGTGAAGCTGCTGCAAAACATTGGTGACACAAAAACTCCCCCCAGCTGTCCAAGTTGTGTGTACAGCAAAGGAAGTGAGGACAGGACAATAATTTAAAAAAAAAAAAAAAAACAACACAAAAACAAAAGGAAACAAACCACTCACAGCAATTTCAGCATAATCTGGAGAATCAGCATCATTTAAAAAACCATAGGAACATTAACCTTAAGAACAATTCATTTAATGCAATGATAACTTTATTGAAGGAAATAAAAAGCACTTGTAAGGGTTTCACTTCATTACAGAGAAAGTTTTAAGTCAGAAAAAGAGATCAAAGTAGAAATCAAACAGTGTAAATACATAGAAAAAGCACATCAGCAAACAGAATCAATAACGGTATAAAACATTGCAGAGAATTTCTGAGTTTGGTTTTTATTTTACAAAATAATTCCACAGCTGGTAAAAAAATTTAGTGGTAACATTATAGCAAGGCACATGGTTTTAAGACAATAAACCATTTGTGGGCTTTCCCTCCAAAACGGTCAGTATTTCCTATGGTTGTAAACATCAGTATTTAAGATAAATGTGTTTAAACATCCTCCTCAGTCTACAATAGCACAGTGATCTCAATTTCTTGAACATGTTTAAGTGCCAAAATGAAGCAAGAGCTGTTCTCAGGAAGTCAGAGGCACACACAGAGCCCAACACACTTTCCCTTTCAAAAACATGGTTTCTGAAAAGAATTTCAACTTGTGGCAGAAAATTCTTCCTTGGTTTTTGTAACAACCCATGAACAATGTTATTACTATAAATACTAAATGAGAAGAAGTTGTTCACATCATCAGTGTAGAGTCATTTCAGATAGTACCAGTATTAATAACGGACCTCATCATAAAACAGAGCAAAACCTTGAAGTAGTGAAAAAAAATCCCATATTTCAATGTATAGAGTCTCATTATTTCTCTCCATTTCTCTTTCTAATATAGCTGGAAAGTCAGCTGATCCAGGATATACAAATTTCCTGCTAGAACTGTATGCTAAGGCTGTTTGGTTGAGGTTACATTATCTGTACAGCAAAAAGTGAAAAAAAGTGGACAAATCAGTCAACAGGCTGAGCAAAAACCACTTTCTGTTAGAACATCAAATCCTACTGAGATGAGCATCCAACATAAAAGAAGTTTCCTTAGGGAAGTTAGCCTTGAGTTAAGTGCAGTAGGCAACTGAGCAAGGACTTTGGGAAGGAAGGAGCTTTGCAATTCAAACCACAAACTCTATTTGCAGTAGAGCACCCACAACCAACATTCCTGCCCTCAAAGACAGTGAGATGGAAAGCTTCAGGAATACCCACCGTGCTTCGTGCCAAGCAGATAACCAAAGCTGATGACAGCAAAATGTAACACAAAGTAGGTTTAATGACCAAAAAAAATGGTAAAATGGTATAATCTAATTCAGATTGAAAACTACTCAAAGGGAATATTCATACAGTTTACTCCCCAGTTATGTAAAAATCATATAAAATAAAGTACTTCAGTGACATAGTAATTTCTTCTGCTGTTAAACTTGTTAACAGCCTCACTACTACTACTTAAAAGTGAGTAAGAATCTAAAGAGTTTTGTTCTGCGAGAGTTATTTTACATCAAAACTGCTGTAGATGAAGCGACAAACCCTGAGTAGGTTTCACTTATTGGCAAGAATATGGCAAGTCTCTCCTCCTGTCTGATGTCCCCAGGAACTCAACAAGAATACAACACCAAAGGGCAACACAAACCCCAGTGGCACTCTTGTGATCCTTGAGTCCTTGCCATCTCCCCTTGGCTTCCCTTCCTCTAAGAGCACAATTGCTTAGCCTCACGTGCTGTGCAGTCAAATGAAGATTTGTTCTTTTCTCTTCCTGAATAAAAGGCTGTGAAGCTGGAATTACAGTTTTAAACTGAGAGGAAAGGGGGAAAGAACAAAAATCCATTTATGTGCTATCTACTGGTATTTTCATAGATTTTCTACTTCTAATTGGCTGTGTTCACAAGAGCCAACAAAAAGGTTCTAGTTAGCTACTCTGCACATTGGAAAACTAACATTCACCACACCCAACTGTACTGTTCTTACAGAAGAACTGCCAGAGAGTCAGGCTACCAGAACCCTTCCCAAGCTAGCCAAGGAATAAGCAAAAGGCTTTTACTCCTTACTCCTAATCTGAAGTAATCAAAAAAAGAATCCCAGAAGTCAAATTCTGCTTCTGTTGCTGCACAACCTGGAATGATGATTGGAGTTAACATAAGTGAGCTGGAGAGGGGAAGGAAAAACAATGGATACTGTGCTTGTAGCTTTTTTCAGGGAAATTCAGAGATGCTTAAATTAAAGGAATATTGGAATGTAAAAGGCATTAGGGTTGCATTTCAATTTCCCTTATACAAAGGAATTCTGTAAACATTATGAAAGGCCTACGAAAAGACTGGCAAAGATCCTTTGACAGATGTAAATTAGATTTTGAACTTGCTCCCGGATAAAAAAAGACACACATCAGTTTAGACACTTGTCTTAGATCAGCCAGGGAAAACAAGGATCAGTCTTCTTTAATTCCCAGTCTCTCTTGAGCATTTAATCAAATCTTTTCAAGAAGAGTAATAGTCAACACATTTATTTCAACACTAACATCTAAATCCTGGGAGACAAAAAAATGCGCCAGGACATAGCACTTGAATCTGCGTAACTGATTCATCCCAACATCAGTGCCATCTTTCCAAGGTGGCATTTTTCATTTAAATTCTTTTGCAACAGTGATTCTGGCAAGTAACACTTGTCAAAATCTCCCTTTCATACCATCTGCAAAAGGGTATCTTTAATATTTTTTTTTTAGAGGATCCTTACAGGTAGGTGGTACTGAGCTTTATAAATTATCAGAAGGACATGTGGATTTAAGATTTTGGATTAATTAATTTCTTAGTAGCTTTCTGGAAGCCATAGAGCTATTTGCCTTCACTGTGAGCTTAGACTTTACAGCCAAGTAGATCTAGGTTTTTACTACATTAAAATCTTTGTGGTTCAAGTCAGGGATACACTTGCCATGCAAACACAATGCTCTTAAACAACTACACTCTTAGGAGATTGAGGAAAAGATGCTTCAGTTCCCACTGGAGTACACTGGGAAACCATCATCTTAAACAATGGCTCCAGCAAGAGAGTTTGGTAAAAAGAAAGGGGAAAGCAGTTAAACACGATCTCACACAGCAGAGAATCTGCTCAGATATTAAACTGACCCCTGCAATGCTGTGGGAGTGAATGATTATCCGTAGCACAGAAGATAAAGAGAGTGCAGAGTAGCCCTGGAATTTGGAAACAGACTGCTCAGCACTTGTTTGGAGCTGGCAGCAGGATTGTTTCACACTTTCCTTGCTACCACAGGCAATAAAACATTGTGCTTTCTCCTCCATGCAGAGAAGTTCACTGGTATGTGCAAGCATTTTAGCAGAAAGAAAACTGATTCCACTTACAAAGAAGCAAACAGAAATGTTGGAATTTAACTTAATTCAGAGGAAAACATCTTCTCCCTGACCCAGGCTGCTTAAAAACAACAGCCCACTTCTACCTTATGACAGTTTGTCTTTTGAGAAAGGACATACATAAATTCTTTTTTTTGTTTGCCTACCATGCCCTTTGCATTGCTCTTATGCTACAGCTGGAGGACAAAAGAAGCATCTCACTTCCTGTGAAAAATATCAGCTTCCTACCTTGCAGTCATGAGCAAGGAAAAGTTCTCAGGTTCCTGGTAGCTGAAAACATCAATGGACCTTATTTTACAAGTGCTTTTCCAACAGGAACAAGTTTTTTCAGATGAAAATGTCCCTTTCATGTAATTTAAGGGAAGACTATCAGTATAGACTGAGAATTAAATACTTCATTGAAGATGCAAACATTTCATGGTTAGTCCACAACTATGTTTGCTTTTAGAATTACATCTTTCAGATGTCTCATAAACCTAAAATTTTGCAAGAGAGACAGGAAAAGAAAGAATACCAATAATTCCATTACCCAAGGCAAACAGTGCAACGATTAAGTGACATAAAGCTATTCAAAAATCTCCCAAGTGGTTGGTAAGAAATCAGTTTTCAACTCTAGAACTGGCACCCTAAGCTCTTCACTTTACAGACTTCACACATTACTTTGGAACTTCTGCAAAACCAAATGCATGAATTTATGCAAGAATCACCATAACAAATTGTGGACCTCTGCCCAGTTCTTCTGTCAGGCTGAATTTCATTTGATCACAAGCCCCCTGTCCCACAGACACCACTGCTTACAAACCCAAGCAACTGCAGACGCTGGGTGTAACACAAGGAGCTCCTAACAAGCAGCTGAAAGGCACGTGTTCAAAACAGAAGTAGGAAACTACACAACACAGTGATCTCAACACAGTTCCATCTAGAACTTCCTAGAACTTTGTGAGGCATCCAGTATTCCTGTTAGGACAGGCAGACTGAAACACATTTCTTCACAGCATCCCTACAGGCAGGAGAAAGAAAAAAACACAAGAGAGTCAGAGTCACCTCAGTTGTATTATTTAATAAGAGTCATTATGTGCTCCTATCCCACTGACACTGAGAACAATCTTCTGTGTGATTAAACCTCAAAATGACAAAGAGTAAGAGTGTTGGGAAGCTTACCTTGCATATGGTATGAAGGAAATGCTGTACCTAAGAAGAAAGATTTTGAAAGTTACTTTTCACGTCAGATTTTATTAGTCACAAACAAGAACAACCCCTCTGATATTCTAAACTGCAAGTTACATAACCAAAAGGAAGCTGTGAGTTTGTGAGTAATAGGAAAGAGTACCATTGAAAGCCATCCTAGCCCAGCCAGAGTATGAAACATTATGGCAAAATAGAGGGGGATGTTGTGGAAGCATTTTAAACACAGCTCTCCTGCATCCAGTATCCTTCATGCTCCAACACCTACAGGTAGGCAAGATTAGTGCTGAGGGCTGGCTAGGTGTCCATATCAGTTTGTGCACTCCTTTCGTGACCTTGCACAGACCATGTGTTAACATGAAGAACACTGACAACTTGATTGGCATACACGGAGCTCTGAATGAAACAAATTCAGGAGAGGGTAAAAGAGGAATAGCAGACAGCAGGCAACAAATTGATTTAAAAGGGAAAGAAAAAAAACAAGCTCAGTTCAAGCCCAGAGAAATCAAATGAACTTTCACTAGAAATGGAGCCCTGAGCTCTATCTCCAAAGCCTCTGTAGTGGTGTGAGAGACCAAGAAATGGGAACAGGTCAGCTCCTCACTGATGCATTTTCTTGAATCTAAGGGATTGACAAGGTAAAAATTTTCCTTCCACCTAACTCGACATCAAAATCACACCAATTCAGCTACTGATGTCAGGTTCAACAGAAAGTGGAATGTGTAGGGAGGAAATCACTCACCATGCCATTGCAAAAAACTGTAAGATACAGAAAAGCAGTGCAAGTCCCGCCTTGCGCCACTGGAGGGAGAGGAGAGGGGACGGGAAAGAAACACAGCACAGACAACAGTGTAAGAATTTTACTTTTAAAATACTATATCCTTATAAATATATATATATTTTATATATTATTATATGATATATTATTATATTATATATTTTATCTTATATATTATATATTACATATTATATATACAGCTATATTAACTACAGTTATATATACATACAGGACTCCGGTACTCACCCAGAAAGCAGAACACAGTGTTAGTATGAGGCACAACTAGAAGAAAACAAATTATTTTAATTAAAAATAGAATTAACATCAGTTTCTATAAATATTGCAACAATGTAATGGGGTCTTTCACAGAGAAAGAAATTAATAACATCATCTCACAGTTTTATTTAATTCTGCATCATAGGAGTTCCTTGTATTTAAAAGTTCCTTGTATTTAAAATGCTCTCGCTATTATATTTCTGAAGTGAATTAAAGCGATCAGGAAACATCATCTTGGTATCTCCAGAAAGTGATTTTATGGCTGCAAAGGAGCAAGAGGAACAGGTTCCTGCAGCTCTTTTGCAGGTCCCTACTCCATCCCACACACTTCTTGGTGTCATGAGCACATACCACATTTCACCGTTTTGTAAGACCTTTCAAATACTTTTCAGTTACCTCTCTTAGTCCTTCTGCTTCTGCACAGTTCCTGATGATTACATGGTTACCACAGCATTGAAGTTATGTCATTATTTAAAAGCTCACCAATTAAAACTACGCTACACTTTCAAGAACTTTGGGCTGTTGCTTAGTAGCTCTCCCGTGTATATATTTAAGTAAGGCCTAGTGAAACAAGCCCTTTTTCTGTTTTCAGTATGTGCACTGTGTCTCTCTTTCTTTACTACAGGTAAAATCTTGGAGGGTAGTAGGATTATTTTCTGCTTTAACCCTCAGTTTTAACAGAAGCCTCCTATTAGTTTTCGTTTTCAATTTAAGATATGACAGCTCATTTATATATGATAGATGCTGATAATTCATCTTCCTTCATCAGCACCTAACAGCCTTTAGATACACATGTACCACTGTGCTACTAGAGATTATAATGTACATCCTTCTGCTAGAATAGAAAAAAACCCTATATATTCAGAAAAAAACCCTGCATATTCAGACACTAAGACAAGCATTGCCAAAGAAATCATACACTTGAGCTCAACCAGTACTGACAATAAATGCATCTCTTCCATTACTTTTAAGGTGGTGATTTGTATAGTGGTCTAAATACTGCATCATACATCTAATGACAGGCTTTATCCCAGTGAACAACATTCCAGGAATTCTCCTGACTCCAGGCATCCTGAATGCATACAAAACACACACGCACACAGACACACACACAGACACAGACACAGATACACACACAGACACACACACAGACACAGACACACACACAGACTAGCTTCTTGCTTGGATCTGCAAGCATACACAGATAATTTCTCAAGCTCTGCAGTATCACTGCATGTGCAAAGAGAATTTGGAAAGTGCTGATGCCAAACAAACACTGATGACATTCAGATTAAAAACGGGAGGTTCATGCAAGTTAAAGCAGGACTTGCCAGGAGAAAACAGGAAAGTTGCAGAGACAAAAAAAAAAAACCCATGTACTTTAAAGAAGAGTCAATCTGAAACTTAGCAGTAACTTTCAGACACAGAAGCTCACACAACACAAGGCTTGCTATAACTTCTATCTTCTGAAAATAAAATAATTCTAAGGATGACTCCACTGAATGTTGAATTTGCAATTTCATTCGGTCATAGAAGTTTCAAAACCTGAAGCTATCAGCCAGCTGGGATGATCCCTAATGCAAGCTGACCAAGACACAGTTTCCTCAGCTGCTTTGTCATGAAGAGATGATCTTATCAAGGTAGAAATACCTACACAGCTCTTTCAAGGCAGTCAGACAGAATATAAAAGGACAAAATTATGCAAAGTGAAATATCTAGCAAAATCCAAAGGACAACTTAAAAAAACCTAGTTTCCCATCATTCACCTTTTAGGCAACACGTAAATATGATGCTGTGACCTCAAGTACCCTAAAAGAGCACATGCATGGTTCACACACACCAGTCACAGACCCTTAATGCTCATTTAGCAAAACAAGCTGGCTTCAGCTCAGTCTTGCCTAACAGAGAGGTGCTTTTTCCTTTTTTTTTTTCTACACTTACCTTTCCACTACAGCAGATGTGCAGTGTTTGATATTTTAAAAAAAGACAAAAAAAACACGAACCAAAAAAACACTCCCAGACACATCCTGAGCCATAGCTGGATCAATGGGTATGGAAGGACTTCACAACGAAAACTGTTGCCAGGTTTGTGTGAGTTAAAATCCTTGGATACTTACCAGCATAACAATAGTAGCGATCAAACGAGTGGGCTCAAACATCCGCTTCAGTTGTTTCATTGGTCCCATAAGAAACATAGTGCTGTGAAAAACAAGTCCAGAAGAACACGGAAATGAGAAAGGCAAAAGTGAAACTCTGTAAGATTAAGCAGTCTGCTGCCTTAGGGGCATCAGTACACTGTGTTGTTATGGTAATCAGTGCAGCATAACAAAAGAAATGGGATTATACAATGAGACAAAATCCATTCCCTCTTTTCTTTGTGCAAGGTATTTACAATTTTATTCACATTTGTTCTATTCAAATTAACAGAAGCAGAACTATCAAGTTAGAAGCATAGTCCAAGGTCAGCTCCAATCAGATCATCCTTGACAGATGCTTTTCTAACCTGCTTTTCAAAAATGCTTTTTAAATCTGTTTTTCAAGAACACCATCCACAGAGGCTCTGCATGGATTGCCAGGTAATCCAGCTCAATTCCTCTACATAAAAGGCTGTTTTCAGGCCTGGATCCGTTCTCTGACCCCTTACCAGATCTGCAGCCTCATTTAGAGCCCTGGTGATGGATACTGGATGAATTACACAAGGTGGAAGTTTTATCTAAAGTGATATTTCTGCCTCATATACTATATTATTTTTCCTTATTAGCATATTACTTCCAATTCCATTATTTATGCTTTCTTGCATCATGCTAAGTTTCCACAATCACAGAAAGCTGGGCCTGTCACTGAATATGTAGGGCTTTGCTTCAAGAACCTTGATGGCCATGAAGTCTTACTACATATGCTTGCCCTGACAGACTGCCCCAAACATATTCACCAAAACACACAGAACACTTCCAAATGCAAAATGGCAAAGAATTATTTTTATCTGGGGTAGGAGCAACCAATAAAATCAAAAAACCTCAATGCTCACAGCACGAGTGTTGTTCTTGTTTACTGATGAGCAACTTTTTTGAATGCATTACTAAGAACAACAAACAAATTAAACAATTAAACAATATTAAAATTTTCTTTACCATTTCAGATCGCTACAGAAATTATGTTCTGTAGAATTCAACAAGAAAATTATCTACAAAAGCAAATCTTCTCTCACAAATGCAACAGTTTCTACCACTTGTGCACTATCATTCTGCTTTTGTTTCTCATCTGTATTAGGGAAATGATATATAAAAATGGTTACCTCCCAATAGATGCAATATTCCCCAGGGTATAAAACACTGCAAAGAGCACCAGCCCTTTCTTTGGTATCCATAGCAGACAACTACCCTAAAAAGGAACATTTAGAGAAAAGTGGGGGGGAGAAATTAACAGGTTTAAAATTGAAGCAAATATATATATCCAAGAAGTCTCAAGTCACAGAAGAAATCTTAGGAAGACTTCAAGCCAAACTGCAGAATTCCGCATACGAAAGTAAATCGCATTTATTGTCATTCTTGTTAAGAGTCGGCGTATTCCATCTAACTGGAACCGAGTCAAACGTCTCGGCAGACTCGGAAAAATCAAGCAACAGCACAGAGAGAGGCTGTAATTATCTGGCCTCCTGAAACTCAGATACTGGGGGGATCTGGCAAAACGTCCTTACCAAGATCGAGCACAGGCATCCGATGGCAAAACACGCAATGAAACCTTTCACTCGGGTGCCCCAACCTAACGAAGTCGCGTCGATAACCTGGAAACGAGGGGAAAAAACAAAAGCGAAACTTGTTTACTTGTAGCTCTTGCCTCCTACCGAGCGCGAAAACTTCCTCTCACACTCTGCTCCGTGTCCTGCCCAGTCACCCTCCCGAGTGTCCCGCGGCAAGCGGGGGATGCCGAGCCCCGGGACGCGCGGGGGCGGCGCTGGGGGAGCCCCCGAGGGACCGCCCGCCCACGCCACCGGCGCCTTCTCCGGGGCGCAGCTCCGCCACCGCCGAGCGCCCCGGAGAGGGGAGCCCGGGTCCCCCCGCCCGACAGCGAGGCGGCAGCGCTACCTCGGCCAGGCCGCTCGGCTCCTCCGCGTCGCGGCCGCTCAGCACCCGCTTCAGCTTGTCCATGGCTCCACCGGCCGGCCGGCCGGAACGCCCTGCCCTGCCCTGCCCTTCCCTTCCCTCCCCAGGGACTACCAGCCCCGGCAGGCACCGCGCCCACCTGCGAGCCGCAGGTAGGGGAAGGCCGGCGGGGCGGCGCACAGGCTGCCGGGGGATGTAGTCCGGATGTGGATGGATCATGTCTCCCGCCAGCACTTCCCAATCCATCACTTGGCAGTAGCCAAACTCATTTTACAGTCACAGTGAGGTTTCATTTTAATCCCACGACTATGGCTCTTCTCCCGCTCACTTTATTTTCGTAACGAGCCGAGCAGTCTCCTGCCAGACAAAGGTATGTGGATACAATGTCTTACTAGCAGCCAAAATTCAGCAGCACAGGTAGTTATTTCAATCTATTTTGCTCAGTTAAAAACAGAACTGTAAATGTTTAGAACGTTTTATTTAGCAACATACAAGGAACAATATAAACTGCCACATAAAACTTGACACAAAACAGCTGGAGAATCACCCCACTCCCTCCCCCCTAAAGTTATTTATTCAAAGTGGTACTTTTCTGTGGAAATTTTGTGCCAGAGAGCTTGCTGAACGCCAGTTTATACCGCTGCTTCTTGGTAATCTGCGTGGTGTAAGAAAGTCACAAAGTGCTCCAATTTTGAACTTGTTGTAACTTTAACTTCCTAAAGGTGTTCTCATGATTTCCCCAACACCTGTGTTCCACTGAAATGCACAATACCCTTTAGAATAGATGGAAAGCACGTACCTATAGTCAGGATACAAGTCCATTCCATAAAATTTTACCAATGGGTCACAAATTTGGATGTATGATGGACAAGAGAAAATACACGGTATAAGCTAAACATGCAGAGTGCCCTTTCCACTGCTCCCTCCCCACTCAGTGGTTTTTCCACCCACACTCTATTTCAGCCCAAAGGAGTTTAATGCTAGCATCACTGACCAAGCCCAAATTAGAGTTTGAATTAAAAGATGCAGTTATAGTTTCCTTCATGCCAGCACTACATGATCTCTGCTCCCGGTCACACCAGCTATAAAGTGTGTTTCTATAAGCCCTAAGGCATGTATACTAATATATACTTAAAGTAAAAGAAGTGCCATGATTTACTTCTACCAGAAAAATCTCTTCACCCCCATTTGTTGTTCCCTTCCTTTTCACTCTTTCCTCATTTCCCTCTATCACTGGATTGGACCCAAATAATCTTCTATTACCAAATGGATTTTAATCTCTTCCATGCTGTACTCAATTGCAATCCCCTTCTTCATCCTGACACTAAAATGTTTAGGAAACAAGGGCAGGAAGATGAAAAAAAGCCAACAGAATTTAGGACTGTAATGGGGAACACTTCTATTTCGAAGTGGCCAAAAATTCGTTCACCCAGATCATGTCTAATAATTATTACAGCTGACAACTTCTCTCAGAAACTGTTTCATTTCAGTTTTCTTCACTCATCCTATGGATCATTCTTTTGCAGTGATCCTTTGCAAAGGATTCCAAAGATAAGGCTGAAGGTGTACTCAAAAAAAAAAAATATTCTAATCAATAACTTTGTACAAACTAATCCTCACAGTCCCTCTGTGAGGTAGGCATATATTAACTCTCATTTTTACATACAGGGAATGGAGGCACAGAGAAAGGTCTTCCACAGTTAATCAGTGACACAGGAAAAACTGCAGGCAGTTCCTGCCTTTCCATCTGCTGTAGAATTCACTAGACCAGGCTTCCTCAAATAAAAGTGAAATTTATGTGTTATTTGTTTTTACTAAGGAAACAGTCACTTAGATGAAGTAGACTTTTTTTCTCCCCTAAAAACCTCAGAGTCTTCTCTACATGAAGAAGAGTTCAGAAAAGATACAGTTTTGTGGTGGGTTGCTTCTAGTAAGCCATGCAGTGTAGAATACAAAGATTTTTAAACAAAAACACCAAGGTATCAGGATGTGTACATGTTCTTATCTGCAAGCACCTTGCACCACAAGGCCTGCTTTTCACTGCAGTTACTTGCTTCCTGCACTGAGTGTCAGCAGCAAACCCAGACAAGCCTGCTCAGCTGCCCCATTCTTAGGCCAAACCAGTAACACACTGCAGGATTTCCAAAAGCAATAGAAGTATTTCAGTTTCATCTACAGAGTGTTGAAACCATGACTATACAAGTGATCACACTTCTATCAACATTAGAAGAATATTAAAATAAACCAAATTATGTATCTGGAATATATATTAGCATCCTTCTAATGCCATACAGGATCTCCTTTTTCCTGTACCAGCATCCTTTAGGGATCCTTTAGGGATCAGACTTCCCCAGCCTTAAGCCCTACTGCAGTTTTGCAATTTGGCAGTCAGGGCAGTAGAACCATCACATGTGGGCACATCCAAGAGAAGGCCAGTGCAGGACAATGCCTTTCCAGCATCATACATGACTGGAGCAGCACAGGGACCCCAAGTCAGAGTCCCAGAACTGCACAGAGAGTCCCAAAACTTCCCAGAGAACTCCAGCCGACATCAGATTAAATTAGCATTGGTGAAGAGACTTACCAGTGTCTCTCTGTTAACCTCCAGCTCTCCTCCTGCTCTGGAGTTAATGCCTCACAAATAATTTTACCTTTATATGGTGTCAAACAAATGTATTTTTTTCCCTACACCTACACCTATCCTCAAATGAAATGAATATTTTTAGGTGAGACTCTGGATCAGAAACTACAAGAAGTAACTTTGTTTGTTATCAGTAGGGGCAGCCAAGCAAAATGGGTAGTTTAAGACTGACAGATCAAAATAAATGCAGAGGATTTTTTTTTACTGTGGATTATTTCTCAATAAAAATTAAATTCCAGTTTTACAACTCTGATAGTTTCTTAGTATCTGAAGCAGCACTAACAAAATCTTCATAGAAGTATTAGCAGATGGGGGCCCAGACAATACTCCTGCCTGCTTGGTGAACTTAACAGAACCCAGACTCCAAACAGTCATTTCTCCAATGCTGTTGAAAACTGTAACTCACTACCAGTCTATCATCAACTCCAGACACAGGTTAAAAAAACAAAATCCAAACAAAAAACACCATTAGCAAAACCTGCTTGAAATGTTTTCTCCCAAAGGCTACAGAAAAATTAGCCAAATTCTTCATTCCACTAGTAGTGAAATGCCCCCCATGACAACAGTTGTGATCACATTATCTCCAGTCTACTTCAAGTCCTTATGAAGTCACATTTATTTAGACTTAGCACATGTGGTTTCCAGTGATGTTTCTGGTTTGGGCTCCAGCTTCTCTGGGAATTCTAGTTTTTCACAGATTGTCTCCTTTATGGGTAGATACTGAGAGATCTCGTTAGGTTCTGTGAACAGGGAAGGTGGAACGTTCTAAAAAGTAAAAAATTTACATGAAACAAGTGAAAGAAAAAAGGGGATAAGAAAATGTATTCAAACCCCAAACTTTTATAGACAATTAATTTATAATTTACTGCATGTAAACACCACTAGAGACAAACTTTTTAGAGGCAAAGGAATAATAAGGGAGAAGGAAAGGTACAAGAAATGGAAGGTCAGGCATTTGTCACGAATAAAAATCAACAGCTGCAACTCCAAATGTGCCACAAATTATTATGAGCCATTACCAGAGTTTTAAGGTGACCTATTAACCTCAAACATTTGAGAAAAACTGAAAGAGTCTATTACCAAACAGACCTTAACCCCTAATACTGCTTGCAAGCACACAACCAGCCATGAAATTTAACATCATGGGATGTGGAGTACCTGATTTTGCAGCTGAACAGTTCTATGAAAAAATAAAATAGTAAAAACATTTTATTAACTCAACAGCCGAAAAATTGACCTAATCCCATACCTTATCTTGTGATCTTTGATTTACAAAATGCAAATCTGCTCTAAAATCATCAAAACAAAAGCTGCATAAGCAGACAGAATTTTCCTGTGTGTTAATTCCAAATGGTACAAAGAAGGACTTAGAGACACAGTATTTTCTATGCTGACCATAAAACTAAAAAGCAGACAGAAGGAAAAGAAACAAAGTTTTAAAAAATGTAATACCTTTAAACTTGATATTTTGCTTTCCCTGGATGTGTATTCTCGCAACATGTAGGTCTTGTCAGCCTAACAGAAAAAAGCAATCATCTGGTATCAGTAGAAACTAAGCACTTTAAATATACCGAATTTAGTGAACACTGGAATTTGGTTGACCACAACCAAATTGACTAGGTTCACCTAGAAGAAATGTACCTTCCAATTCACAAAGACAGATGATAACAATGCGTTTTTTTTCCAAAAACCACCGGTGTGCATGCTTCAAAAAAAATCCTATAACTGAATATGCTTGTTAATTTTTACTCAGCTAGAACTCCTACACACCTACACAGAATTACCAAACTACAAATCTTAACATACTGTATTATTTATGAAATACCAGAACTCAATGTACTGTGGACAGTCATTTACAAGTTACACTTGCAGTCTAATTCTATTAGGTAAGGCAAAAATAACGTACTTGTAGACCATAGTTGGAGATGAGACACTGAACTCTTTACTGTTGCCTATTTTTCCTCTTGTACTTCCTTCTCTAATTTGTGTTGTCAAATGTATTTAAATGATTACATCACATGGGGGGTAGCCTACTGTGCTCACACACCATGGCATCCAGCACTCAGTTGCTAGCTCAGCACCACCCCAATAATAAAATACACTCAAGAAGTTTTCATGCCCCCAAACATGAATATTAAACTAGAGGAATATCACCATGCCACTGGAAGTAAAATGGCAAGGGAATCTCTGTAAAAAAAGATGGAAAGTAAGGGTTTACCTCATGATGAAGCCTTGTATCATTCATCCTGATGAGTACCCCATCCACTCGCAAAAAGAACCTCAGCAGCACAAAAAAGCTGGAAGGCATAACTCTCTGCAAAAATAAATGGCCCATTCAGCACCTCACAAAGGCTTCCTTTCAGCACCTACTTGTCTACATCAGATATTCACAATGGAAGACAATATGAGAAGTTTTCAAGAATGAAGTCAAAATCTGGGCTGTTGACTTGCTACAGCTATGGCTGGCCAGCGGGACAGACAGGGTCTCAGAGGACTACTAGGCAAGGAAGGGAAAAGATTGTCCCCTGGAGCAAATGACAGATGACAAAGGTTTCAAGACAACACCATTTCCAGTAAGATTCTATTTCTAAGAGCAAGGATGAAGAACTTTGTGCTTTAAAGTTTAAATCCCAGAAGGAACAATGTGCAAAAAGCAGCTGTGTTTTGCATTAATCAGCCAACTGAGTCCCCAAGTACTTTTTATACACCTCCCAATACTCACTACTTTCACACTCAAACTTGATACTCCATGATCATGAAGTTCATCTTCAAACAGGAGTACCTCTTCAAAAAACATAATTTGTTCCCTGGCTTTCAATTTCTCTGTATTTATGTGTTCTGTTGTAGGAACAACCTAGAGAAAAAGATTAACAACAGTTAGCATATTAATTTGTTGCCAAACTACATAAAGTTTGTCCTGATATTTTGAATTCCACAGATTTAAAAAGGAAAAGACTTCTAAGGCACTAAGCTTAAGACACCCCAAATTTCTAAGAGAAAAAGTAAAAATCAAAGTTTCTAAGAGTTTCTTCTTGAAATAACATCAAGCAAATGCAAAATCTAAGAGTGGAAAATTCTGAATAAACTTCTCTGTGGATACAGGCTCAGTAGGGTTTCAGCTGCAAACAATTCTGCTCACTTTCTTTCAAAACATTTGAAGATGTCTTGTGTTTAACATATGTATGAGAAGTTGAGGTTTATAAACAGATTTCCATGCATTTAGCACCCCTAGCCCACTACACACCTTGAAAAGGATTCTAGTAAAGCCTTTCCATGGAAATCAAGTACCTATATGTTTTCCTTCTCATGGTCTCCACAGACACTTCTGGTGTCTGAAGACTATGGACCAACATTGTTTATTTCTAAGTTTCACTTTTAATTCCAGCACAACTCAAATGATCTCTAACTAAAGCGATGCTAGTGAACTCACACAGATTATCTGCTTAGTAGCAAGCAACCTGTATGCAGCAAACAGAAGCTGTGAACTTCACTCTTATTTTCACAAAAATAAAGACATGGGAGTGCCTGTGAGTTTAAATAGGAGGAGTTACTGAGTTGCTGTTGCAGAAAAACTCCAGGCCATTGAAAGCAGCCAGAAATCAGACAAACATGCAAGCAGCAGAGCATGAAGGCACTACAGAATGACACAGCTGATAGTTCTGCTGTATCTCTGGGGCTCCAGAGCGGCCCCCAGCAAGAGCTGAAGCCTTCCATGTGCTTTAATCCTAAAATGCTTAAAGACACCACACACCTCCGTTATTAAAATAAGCCATTATTTGGTTAGGATAAAATCATGACCTGAGAGACATGAGAAGCCCAAATTACACTTTGAAATCAGAAATTACGAAGCACAAAAGATTTTACAGAAGCCTACTGAAAGGTAAATGACAGCTATAAAAAAAGAGTTTGACTGAAGCAAGATGCAGTCAGCAATTATCAAGAAGAAAATTATTACCTTTAATGTTGCAGTATCTCCCAGCAAAGTTCCTTTGTAATCTGTTGTGTAAGTCCAGTCATATGGCTTGACAACTTCCTTACTGTGCTCAGTCTCACTCCTCAACAGTGAAAGAGAAAACAGCTTTGTAGTAATTGCTTTGTAGTAATTCTCAAAGAATTATAACCTCACATAAGACTGCATTAGAATTCCCACACTGCTCCTGAAGAAAAACAGCAGCATTGTCTGAGCTGCAATCACAATGTCAAGACTTAATAATGGTTTCACATCTGTTTCATAATAACTTTGAAAACAATTGAGAATTCTCAATCTATTTCAGTTCTATGACTCGAAATAAAGATTTTCATGCAATATTGCTGAAAAATTTTTATTTCAAGATCAATTTTTCTTTAAGTATGCAGAAAGTGATCTCTTGACAACACACAGCAATCAATAACACTGCAATTTAGCTTAATTTTCCTGACAACTTTGCTTTCTTTCTGTGCTTTATTTCCAGGTGCCCTACAACTAATCCAATTTGGAAAGTACTAAGCACCATAATTAGTTCTCATGCATGGTAACTGTTCTGCTTTATTCCCAAGGCTAAGATTTTGAACATGTACACTTTGCAACACCAGACAATACAGTCTTATAATGCTCGAGGCCCTATGAGTTTGAATAAACAGAAACAGCACTAAGTCATGTTAAACTTGAAGTTTACTTTAAGAAAGCCATGACACAGCTGAAAAATAAAGCTGATCCAATTTAACAGAAAAGATGATAACAGCAAAGAAAAGCCAAGTGAATTCTGTGATCACATGCTTTATCTAGGCTAGAACCAAATGCAACATGGTCCTCAAGAGTTCAGTTTTTTCCTTTAACCACTGTATGATACTTTCATGTACAATACACCAGTACTTGCCCACTGGTGATAAAATACTGTACCTGCTCTCTTGCCATTCTTCTGCACAAGCGACTTTGATCATACCTTGACAATTATTGACACATTTTAAAGCATCTGTAGCATTGAACTCAATTCCAAAACCGTGGTCATGCTGTATTCTTAGGACATTGTCTCCAAACATCATCTCTGGCAGGGAAGGCATGTGCAATTCTTCAGCCAACCTGCAGAGAAAAACAAGAGGCATCAGTCAGCTACAGCTCAGTGAAAGCAGTCCTTGTTTTGGAATAAGGATTCTCTAGACCATGGTAACTTAGAAAAGACATCATCAGTATGTTCTGCAAGACTTTGTTGTTTTCCCAGGTTAATCATTTCACCTAAAAAGCAGAGTCATTGATCTAAAGTGGCTTTTCCACCAAAAAAGTATTCCTAAAACATTCCTCCACCATCAGGCTCAGACAAAATTCTCACACATGAGGAATCAAGAGTATCTGAGAAGCATGTAGAAGCAATTTTCTGCCTATGCTAGGAAATCCCTAGATGGCCAATGGACCAACTTAAGTAGGTGCTCAAAGAAACTTTTAGGAATAAGGACTCATCATGAGCAAGCTGGAATTCACTGCACAATGGTCCAAAACTCCAAATTTAGAAGCCTACAAAAAAGATGCTTAAGACACCCCTGGCAGAGTATGTAAAAAGTGCAGAAGATACTAATGTGCTCTACTACATTTTCAAGCTGGTGGAAGACATGTACTGGTACACTGCCTAAACTTTTCTTTATCTCCCTACCTGCCTGACTTACCAAGATCAGAAAGGAATACATGACATTTAGAGAGAAGAAAGCTTTAGAAAATACACTCATTTGAGTGAGGGGAGGGAGAAGAGTGTCCTAATCATAATGTTCACATTGGTAACAAGGCATTCCTGAACAAAAGTGGTTATTTCTGTAACCCTGAATACAAAAGAACAGTGTTAACCTAACTAAAATAAAAATAGCAAATTCACAGACCTGGAGAACAAGATCCTATGTTTTTCCCAGAGAAGGTAGAATAACATTATGAACTTTTCCATTTCATCAAGTGTAGGGACCCCTGACTTGGAAAAACCAACACCTGCATAGAAAAGAGTTCTTGGCTATAACACATTTAATCCTTCACCTTTCCACACAGGTTGCTGAGGAATTTTTGCAATATATATTTGCCAGAAATAAAATTCCTGTAGATACTAATAATGTTCCCCAAGCAATAAAAAAGACAAAATGGGTTGCTGTGACCTTGCTGCGCCTCCTACAACTGGCCTCAGCCCATCGATCCAGCCTGTCCAGATCCCCTTGCTGAGCCTTCCCACCCTCCAGCAAATCAGCGCTTCCACCTCACTTGGGGTCATCATCTGTGCACTTACTGAGGGTGCACTCAATCACCTTGTCCAGATCATCAATAAAGACATTGAACAAGACTGGCCCCAATACTGAGCCCTGGAGAACACCACTGTTGATGGGCCACCTGCAGGATGTCATTCCATTCACCATCACTCTTTCAGCTCAGCCATCCAGACAGCTTTACCCAACAAATACCACAGCCATGAGCAGCCAGTTCCTCCCAGAGAATGCCTCATTACCCTCAGAAAAGGTAAAGGCAAGATAAATGAAAGTACATTTAACAAGACTAATGAGATTCCCATGTATACTGAAATTTATTCCAGAAAATGAAACTGAGAAATATCTGCCAAATCCATCTGCCACTAAGGTCAGTTATGGCACAGCCAAACTCTTCAGTTCCACATTAGCAAATCTGACCTAAGTACCTGATGCTGATACATGAACATTTCCTCTAATGATCTCACTGGATTGGAAATTCCTACAAGAAGAGAGCAAATGATAAATTTTTTATGAAAACCACTATCTTAAAATAGCTATTACCAAGACATGGTATGAGACATTAAAAATATCCTTTTTCAAAAGTAATTAAGAAAATCAGGCTTCTAATTAGCGAGTTTCAGTTCACAGAGATCCAAAACCATTATAATCGTACAATCACAGAATGGTTTGAGTTGGAAGAAACCTTAAAGGTCAAGTCCCAACCCCTCTGCCATAGGCAAGTACACCTCTGCTAGACCAGGTTGCCCAAAGCTCCATCCAACCTGGCCTTGAACATCTGCAGAGATGGGGAATTTGCAACTTCTCTGGGCAAGCCGTTTCAGACTCACCACCCTCACAGTCAGGAATTTCTCTCCTAGGGTCCAATCTAAATCTCCTCTCTTTCAGTTCGAATCCATTCCCCCTTGTCCTCGTACTACATGCCCTTGTAAAAAGTCCCTCCTCGTCTTTCTTGTAGGCTGCCTTCTGCAATCATCGAAACAAAATTTTGGAAATTACCTGTAACTCAAATCGTCCCTGTTTCTCCAGCCGGAGAATCAAGCTTGAAGAGAAGGAACAACCCCGGTCTCCCACCTAACCGGGCCGAACAGCGTCTCCCCCGCCCTGAGAACGCTCTGTGTTTCTTTCGCAAGGCCACCCCACACCCGCAGGCCCTCGCTGTGAGGGCCGAGGCCGCAGCCCGGCGGTGGCTCCCTGAGCAGCGGGGACACCGTGCTGTGCTGTGTCGTGCTGTGCTGTGCTGAGCCGTGTCGTGCCGTGCTGTACCCCCCTGGTCCGGAGCCCGCCCCACCTCTCGGCCTGCGCCGACTTCATGATGTGCGTCCGGGCGGCGCTCAGCTTCCACGGCCCGAAGGTGAAGTCCCGCCGGCTGCTCTGGAACACGGGGTGCATGGCGGCCTCCTCTCCGCCGAGCAGAAGGCAGGAGGCGGAGGAAGGGACAGCGGCGGAGGCGGCGGAGCCCCTCTCCTCCCCTCTCCTCCCGCACAGCCCTCACGGCAGCGGCGGCTCCGGAACCACCGCCCCGTGGCGCTTCCGCTTCCAGGGGCGCGCGCGGCGCGGAGCCCGGCGGCGGAATCCTGGGATGCATCAGGAAGAACAGGGCGAGGGAAGGGATCCAGCGCCTCTAGTGAGCCCACATCTGCAGTGTTCTGTTCAGGACAGGAGAGACACGGAGCTCCTGGGGCGGGTCCAGCGGAGAGCAGGGAAAATGACTGAGTGACTGGGGCATCTCCGTGAGGTGGAAGGGCTGAGAGAGCTGGGCATGTTCAGCCTCGGGAAGAGGTGGCTGAGAGGGGCCTTCATCAATGTGAACACGTATCTAAAGAGGGAATTCCAAGAATATGGGTCCAGGCTCTTCTCCGTGGTGCCAAGCCGTGGGACAAGAGGCAATGGGGCAGAAACTGATGCACAGAAGTTCCACCTGAACATGAGGAAGAAACTCTTTACTGTCCAGGTGACTGAGCACTGGGATGGGTTGTCCAGAAAGGTTGTGATCTCTCCACCACTGGAGATATTCCAGATCTGTCTAGACACAAGCATGTGCCATGTGCTATAGGATGACCCTGCTCGAGCAGGGAGGTTGGACCAGATGACCCATCGTGTCCCCTTCCAGCCTACCCAGTCTGTGATTCTGTGAGGTGATATGGGGGGGCAGGTGGGTGAGGGGTGGGGAGCCACACTTCCCTGTGCTACTGGAGCCACCGTGGGGAGAGTGGGCTCTCTAATCTCCTCTGCCCAGGATCAAGAACCAGCAAGCTAACCCAAGGCCCTGTTCCAGCAAAGCTGAGCAGCAGAAGCCAGCAGAGAATGTCTGTGCGCCCCACAAGTGCTTGTGCCTCCAGCCACTTCCCCATGGGTACCTCACCGAGAGCAGTGGGACAGCTGGGTAGGAGCAGTTTTGGGGAGCTCTGAAGCCTCTGGTGGCCCTGGACCATCTCCATGGCCACACTTACAGTTGCAGCAGGCATTAGGTGGTTCCATCACACAAGTGCTCTGTGCTTAGATGGTACACACACATCTGTGCACTCGGAATCACATCTGGGCAAGGTTAGAAGGGGTCACAATGGATCATCTGGTCCAACTTCACTGTTGAAGCAGAGCACACGGCACAGGATTGTGTCTAGACAGGTCTGGAATATCTCCAGTGAAGGAGACTCCATAATCTCTCTGGTTGTGAATAGTCACAGTCTATAGCACAGGAAATAAATTCTTCCTCAAATTCAGATGGAACTTCTGTGCATCAGTTTTTGCTCATTATGGAATCTCTTGTGCTGGTTCGATGTTTTTGAATACTGTCCAAAGACGGTCTTTCTAAAATGTCGAAGTGCAATGGCGTGGTAAGCTTTAAGAAGTCCTGTAAAAAGCTATCAGTAGAACTGGTTGAAAATGATACATCAGCTTAGTATTCCAGCACTGATGGGTGGGTGCTTGTCTTGCTTTTCTGCGTCATCATCGAAAGGGCAGACTAACTCTCTATGGACTTCCCCTGGCACAGGAGCAAGACACAGTCCAGCTCCTGCTGTTGGAGCATTGGAGTGAACTGAGACAGGAACCATAGGAAACTGATGTCCACAGCATTAAAAACTCCACAGAGCCATCAAAATATAGCACAGCTCACATCAGGGCAGTCACCCTCTGCCTTCAAGGGCGTTGCCAGGGAAAAGCAGGAACTAGGGATGCACAAGCACGGCATTTAATTATTGTTCACCCTTTATACTGTGCCCTTTATACCGACACCTATATCCTATGTCTTGCTTCAAATGTGTGTGCGGGAAAAACTCTTCCCCAAATCTTCTTTGTGTTACTTTTAATAGTGTTTTGGGGTCTAGGAACTTAGGCTAGCACTTAGGCTCTACGACTGCCCAGCACTACTAGCTGGGACAAATGGCTTTACCTCATCTGTGTAAAGTACTTCTCCCCGCCCTTTAACTGAGCTCCCGAAAAGTGCGCGGACCGCCCCGGGGCGGCGGCGGAGAACATGGCGGGCGGGGAGGGGGCGCGGCGGGCTGAGGCGGCGGGGCGGGACGGCGGGAGGGGCAGGCCCGGGGCCGTGCCCATGCCCATGGCGGGGGAGGCTCGGGCCGCGGCGGCTGAGGGGCGTCCCGGGCGCCCCAGACAGGAAAGTCTCCGGCGGCGGCGGGTGGTGAGTGCGGAGCCAGGGAGGGGGCAGAGGCGGCGGGATTCGCTCGCCGCCGGCGGTGCGGGGGAGGTGATGGATGCCCGGGGCAGAGGACCCTGTTCCAGCCCTTTGTTCGCTGCCGGAGGGAGCGCGGGGGCAAAATGGCGAAACCCCCCTTCCCCATAGTATTTCTAACTCGGTCCCACCCGCTGTGTGTGTCCGGGAAGCACTGCCCGCGGCCGGGATGGGATGGGATGGGATGGGATGGGATGGGATGGGATGGGATGGGATGGGATGCTGTCCCCGCCCCGGGCAGCCCTGCCCCGGGAGGGCCACCTCTGCCAGAGGCCGCTTTCCCCGCAGGGTGCAGCAGGGCCGTGAGGGGACCGGGAGCGCCAGGTGCCCCGGGCATCGCTATGGCGGGGAGCGGCCGCGGGGGAAGCCTCCTTCGCGAAACCCGCTCCGGCCAAAAAGTGTTGGAAAGGCAGACAGAGGTGGTGCAGGCGTGCTGAGAGAGAAAGAAACTCGAGGGGAAGTGTTTTTGCACACATCCTCAGTCAGAGGCTAGGGAAGAGCTAAGTTATGTTTTTACAAAGCATGGCCCAGTAATGTCTTTAATTATGTTCTTAGGAAAGTACAGATAAAAATGGAAAAAAGGCATCTTTCCAAACTGACAATGCTGCCTAATGCCACAGCAGCCATGCAGATGGAAGCATTTCTGTGAGTATTCCCAGCTGTCTGAGACCTATGACCCATCCTGGCACAGTTGCAGAATTAGCTGAGATAACTTTCCTGAGTCCCTTACTTCCCAGAAAAGCTAAAATCAACTTTATATTTGTTGGTGGACTCTTCAGCTTTTTCTGGTCTGCATATTTGCATTTGTTCGTTTGTTTGTTCATTATGCTGTCCTGCAGGTGGCTGGAGGACTGAATGAAGTAGGTAGTGAATGTCATTTGGAGGCAGCAGGTGAAAGAGGAATTGTTTAGGAATTGGAAGAAAAAAGAAGGTTTCACGGAATGAGGCTGTGAATCAGTGAGATGGATGCTAACACTAAGAAGTCAAGGATTAAAGGTTCTCAAGCATTTCTGTAGCTTGGACCTCATCTTAATGCAAGGAACTGTCTTTCAAACCTGTACAGAAACCAAATTCTCCAGTTCTTTGGTGTTGACAGAAAAATACAATCAGTGCTGTAGCTAAGGTGATTATGAACATGGAGGAATCATGTTGGGAGAGTATGTGCAGTGGTCCCTGAGTCTTTGAATGTTACTTAGCAACTGCTAAGGAAGAGTCAGCAGGGTATGACAAGCCAGGCATCCAGAGACCACCAGTAAATGCTGTATAGGCAGAATATAAGGTAACTATCGGTATAGGCAATTTTTTTTTTAAATTACTTTCTTTAAAGTAAGACAAACAAAGACTGATAGTGACATTCTTGCTTCTTCACAACCTAGATAAAGGGCCTGGTAAGTAGGACTTAGAAACAAGTAAGAGCTGTAAAAATTTTAAAGTAAAATATGCCTATTTTATTTCTTATTTTCCCCTCTCCACCTCTTCTTGTCTTCCCTGTTCTAGGCTTGGTGTTGTCCTCTTTGGTCTGCCCACAGGCAATTTACTGCCCCTTCGCTTGCCCATCTAAAATATGCAGTTTCCTGTATATTCCATATACCACAGGTAAATTTTAACAAAGGCAAAAGGGCCTCCAGTCATTGGAAAGAGTTTGGAGAACATTTACCTGAATGTTTCTGAGCATTGTTCTGCTTCTAGCTGCTCAGCATGTCTTGGCTGCCCCAGGTCTGCACACTCTGACCATGAACAGCAATTCCTCCCTCAGCAATGGGAAAGGCCTGAGGAACCTGACCACGGAGGAAGATGGGGCAGTCAGAGTCACCGAGTCCATTGCTATAATTGTCATTGCCATCTTCATCTGTTTGGGCAACTTGGTGATTGTTGTCACTCTGTATCGCAAGTCGTACCTTCTCACCTTGAGCAACAAGTTTGTGTTCAGCCTGACCCTCTCCAACTTTCTACTCTCCGTGCTGGTGCTGCCTTTTGTTGTCACCAGCTCCATCAGGCGAGAATGGATCTTCGGGGTTGTTTGGTGCAATTTCTCCGCCCTGCTCTACATGCTGATCAGCTCAGCCAGCATGCTCACTCTGGGACTCATAGCTATAGACAGGTAAGCTGCTCTTTGGTAAAGAATTGTAACAAATTGTCTGCTCCTCTCATAGAGTAACTCACTGCCTGTTCACTGAGTTGAGAAGCACTGCAGAGGCTAACATGGTGTACTGCTGGAATGTCATTTTTACTTCAGCCCCTCCTGAAATTTTGATGTGGAGCAAGAGAAAGCGATGTCATCAATAATGGAAAATGCAGACATTGATCTGGGGTTTTTTAAAGCAGGTTTCTGAGCCTGTTTGAAGACAAAAGAACTAGATATTTGCATCATTAAAGAGTGTTCTTTTCTTTCTTGTATGTCTTTTATGCTCCTGTGGACTACTTTTTTTCTTGCCCCACAGGTACTATGCTGTGCTGTACCCGATGGTTTATCCAATGAAGATAACGGGCAACAGAGCAGTGGTAGCTCTTGTGTACGTGTGGCTGCATTCCCTTATTGGCTGCCTCCCTCCCCTTTTTGGCTGGTCCTCCTTGGAGTTTGACCAATTCAAGTGGATGTGTGTGGCCGCCTGGCACAAGGAGGCTGCCTACACGGCCTTTTGGCAGATCTGGTGCGCGCTGCTGCCGTTCGTGGTCATGATGATCTGCTATGGATTCATATTCCGTGTGGCAAGGATTAAGGCCCGCAAAATCCACTGTGGGACTGTTGTCATTGTGGAGGAGGACTCACAGAGGAATGGGAGGAAGAACTCCAGCACCTCCACGTCCTCCTCTGGCAGCCGAAGGAACGCTTTCCAAGGGGTTGTTTACTCTGCCAACCAGTGCAAAGCTTTCATAACCATCTTGGTTGTCATCGGAGCTTTCGTCATTACGTGGGGACCTTACATGGTGGTAATAACATCAGAGGCACTTTGGGGTAAAAACAGTATTTCCCCTGCTTTGGAGACATTGGCTACATGGCTGTCCTTTTCCAGTGCCATTTGCCATCCGCTAATTTATGGGCTGTGGAACAAGACAGTGCGCAAGGAACTCCTGGGGATGTGCTTTGGGGATCGGTATTACCGCAAGTCCTTTGTTCAGCGGCACAGGACATCGAGGCTCTTCAGCATTTCCAACAGGATCACAGGTAAGATGTGGCTGCAAAAGACACTTCCATAATAGCACCAAGAGCAAGGCTTCCTGTCTGCCTGTGTTTGGCACGTTTCAGGGCTCTGTAAAGAGAGTTGGATGTTTCTGGAATTTTCAGCAGTCTTTCATCACTCAGGTTATAGACATTTGAAAGGAGACTCCTCTTTTTTTATAGTTAACATCTTTCTCCTACTGTAGTAAAACTTTCTCAGGCAGAGGAGACATAGTGATGAGGTTAATAAAAATAATTTATTTTCTTCTTTCTCAAGCATTTCCTTTTGTGTGCCTTCCATTTTGTGTTGCCCAGATTTGAGCTCTACCAGCAGTACTTTTTACTGCACTTTTTCTTTGATTAATGGCCTCATGCTACAACTCTCTAAAATCCACTAAGGTTCCACTGGCGTAACTGTTTCTGCAAGTTCAGCTTTTATGCTTGATGGTTGGGAAGAAAATGTCATAAACAAAGTAAAACTATGGTGTAAAACCATGGAGTTATTTGGTGTGTCCCCAAGTTGGAGACCGAGACCTCCAGTTGCTCAGTTTGTTGGTTTCTTGTTTTTTTCTTTTTTAAAGTAGCAATGCAATGACATTCAGATTTTTAATAAGTTCCCTGGTCATGTACAGAAGCTTCCAAATATAGAACATCTTCAAGGGATATTTCATGCAGAGGCAAGAACTGAAATTATTTAATTGGGAAGGGTGATCTAAAATGCAGAGGGAAGATGAGAGCAGCAAGGCGTCCATTATCTTTTCTGCAACCTGAACACTGGGAGAGACTGTCATGTAAATTAAAGAGTTAAGGAGCTGTAGCCACATTACAAGCTCCAGGAGCTTTGGCAAGTCTGTATCCAGAAAATGCTGTGGATTAATACATTGGAAACTGAGGGAAAAAACAGGAAGGGAAAAGACAGGAAATTTCTTTCTTTTTCCAAGTGATAAAGTTGAAGCTGTCAGCTTCAACTGACATCGGATGTCTTAGCTGGAGGCTGACAGGGAAGTGAAAAAGACCCCCAACAAACTCACAACAGAATCTCAAGGTAGGATCCAAAGCAGCACCTTTTGTAAAAATCTCACAGATCTCCTCCCTTCTTGTTTTGGAGATTTGAAAGAAGTTGGGCATCTCTGTGCCCCAGCCTTGCTCCTAAGCTTCTTCCCAACACTAATGGCCCGTCACAGCTGCTGGTGGCTACCAGGTTATTCTCTGTCTAGAAGATGCCTGGCAAATCTCCCCATCCATGTGAGAGCATACCCTTGGTGCTCAACCTGTCTGGTTGATAAAACACATGGACTTGCAACAGGGAGGGAGATGGTGCAGAGAGAAAGGAGATTTGCCTTTCCAAACCTGACAGCTGCTGACTGGATTTCTAAGATGGGGAGTCCAGAAGACGTGCTCTCTGCTTCAGCAAGGTCAGTTTTATATGCAGAATAATAAATAAGGCAGTACAATGGGTATTACTGGAAGAGGTTTTTGCCATTGCAAACTCCTTAACCATTCACTGTGTAACAAAAATAAAACTTTCTTGCAGATTTGGGACTATCTCCTCACCTTACTGCCCTCATGGCAGGTGGGAGGCCACTGGGAAACAGCAGCAGCACAGGAGACACAGGTTTCAGCTGCTCACAGGATTCAGGTAACTGCAAGTCTCTTGCTCCCTACTTGGGCAGAAGTTTGCACTTGGCAGCAGTCTCGTGGACAGTCAGTATTTACACCCACAGATGTCTCCTGGTGGACTAAAGACATGAAACATCTGTTCCAGCTGTTCCAACAAAACTGCGGCAGTTGCTTTTTTCCTCCTTTGCTCTCAATAGCTGTACTTGCAAAATGCTGCTTACAGAATGGTGACCCTCCCTTGGTAATGTGTCCTAGGAACAAGGCTCACTGATTTTGTGCCCTTCTCCTTCAGTTTCTGTTGTTCTTTGGAGACTTTCTCTGGATCCACAAGGAACAGAGCAACAGAGTGCTGTGAAGAATCTCTGTTCCTATTTTGTAAGAGACCTTGTTCATCCTGCAGTGTAAACATACACACTTAGGATGGTTTCAGCTTATGATTTCATTACTACTCAAGATCTCTCAATTAAAGATGGTTTGGAAAATGGAAAAAGTGTTCTGATGGTAATTTTCTATCCCGATCTGTTGCTAGATTTTTCTGGCAGCTACCAGTCCTTAACTGCAGTGGTTATTTTAGAGAGTATTTCTGCTCTAGAGACACCAGAGGGTGATCTTTTAAAAGTTGCTTGGTGTAAGGGGTTTGTTTCCTACTTTTGTAAAGGAAGCCTGTGGAGCTGGCATTTATTTTTGGTAGTTGTTTTGTGCTGGTAGTTTTCTGCCTGTTGTGGATATCCTGCAGTTGTATGTGATAAAGGAGAGCAGCCTGCTGGTAAACCTGACTCAGTTAAGAGGATGCGGTGTTTCCATCTTGTGACAGCATTTTAAACAAATGAACAAAACTAAAGCCATACCAAAATGCTGTTAGAAGTGCCACTGCTGGTTAAGGAGGGAGCACAGTCCATAGCCTGGCAATGGATATACAGTGATCCACTGTGAAATGCTGTTTCACTTCAGATGCTTTTACTGTGAGTTACTAAAGAGCAGAAGGAAGCCTTAGTCCCTTTTCCCCATCCTTGCTGCATGTAGTACGTGATCCTGGGGCCTGTGATGGCCAGTCTCTAATGAGAAGACTTCCCAATCCTTCCAGTGAAAACTGACCTCATTCTTTTCCTGTGCAGTGTTTTAATTTGAGCTGAAATTTACTTACAAAAGCTGGGTTTAGATGTCTTTTGAAGGAACTGCTGAAAATAGGCTGAAAACTTTTTGCCACGATACTGTATCCCAGTGCTGCTGTTTTACTTGGGGGCTCTTGTTCTTTTCAGGAACAGATACGATGCTTCTTGAAGATTATAGCTCAGATGGCCCTCATGCCCCACACTGCATCTGTCCCCCTCGAAGGAGGAGTTCAGTGACATTTGAAGATGAGGTGGAACAAATTAAAGGTGAGTGTAGGGGCAAGTATGAAAATGCTCAGAGTCAGCAATATTGATTGTGCATGAAGCCTCCCAGGACCTTGAGAATTGTCTTGAAAAGTATCTGACCACTGTTTGCTTTGACAGACCTGCTCAATCATGCAGGTACAACAGAAAGCAAAATCAGGTCTTTATTCCAGATCTCAACCAGCAGCAGGCAAGGACAAGAGTTAGAAGCTGGGATTCCCTGCATATATATAAATTAAATTGCACAGCAGTATCCTCTCTGCAATTCCACTCATCTTGGTGGCTGTTACATTCTATTTTGTGTTTCTTGGGGAATATATTTTCCTGTCCTCATATTTTGATTGCATTATCCCTGTGTTTCTCATTTGCTGTCTTTTCTCAACTTTGTCACTTACAGACTTGAAATTCTTCCATTTGCAGACTTAAATGATCTCAACATAATTTTATTCTGATTAATTTACTTTTTTTTACTTAAATTCTTTGCTTTACTGGGTGTGTTTCTCAGCAGATGGACTGCAATTTTTTCAGTCAACTTCCTTGTTGAATCTGGGCTAGCAGAACATTGCTCTCATCATCTGTAAAATGTCAGAACATTAATTTATGCTGAGTTACAATAATGTCAATAGAAGACTTGATAATAACAACTGATTTTTCTAAACAATACATGATTGTGGATAGGATGAAAATGAGCAGGACGCCTTTAAGAATCAAGTAATAATAAAACCTGAAATAATGAGAAAACTCTATGGAATTTTTAAACATCTTGGTAAAATTCCCTTTTGTCCTCTTCCCAGCATGAGATGAATATTTCCTTGTGCAAACACATTAGCATACATTTCCCACTATCTTTCTGAGTGATTACGTAGGAGCACACATCTAATTTCTTGTGAAAGAGGGAAGTCTCAGTGCACAAGTCCCCACAGGTTTAGCAATTCTTCTTGGTGAGTCTCAGGACTTTCAGCACCCTGAAGCTTTAAATTATTTCATAAGCCTCACTGAAGAGTCACATTTAGGATGAACTCTTGTATTGCTCAACATGTTGGTGAGTAGAGAGGTGTACAGATGCTACAAAAACAGCTGCAGCAACACAGATTATGCCAGGTCATTCTGAAGCTTTGCGCTCATAGAATGGTGTAGGAGGTATTGTTCCAATATGAGTATTGTTGATAAATGTGTACTAATTTTGCAGAGGGCATGATCATGCCTTTACAACAGGATCTATATTAATTTTCAAGCCTTTGCACAGTCATGCTTACCAACTGTTACCTTTTTTTTTTTCTTTTTTTCAGAAGCTGCAAAGAATTCTGTTCTTCACGTAAAAGCTGAAGTCCATAAATCTCTGGACAGTTATGCAGCCAGCCTGGCCCGAGCTATAGAAGCTGATGTGAAACTCAGCCTGTTTGGGGAAGATGCTTTACCAGGAGCCCTGTTCCCCTTGTGGACTCCTGCAGGAAACAGTGGGAACGCCCGGCGTGGTGCCAGGCCCCATGCCAGCCAAAGACTGAAGTTGCAGAGCATCGATGAAGGGAACGTTTGACACAAGCACTGGAGTAGGAAAACAGAATGAAACCACTAAGCAGGGCCTACTGCAACTGGTAGTGTTTCACCAGAACCAGGACACCTTGTTGAGATGTTTCCAGTGTTTTTTCAACACCTGGAAACAGCTGGATTCTGGTACTTACATAAGCATTTTGCAGCAGTGTTTGTTTACTGGTTAGGGTGCTACTGACTCTTCTGCCACATCACTATCACACAGTGCATAGGAATGCAGGGCTTGGTTTCATTGACCAGATGGTTAGTCAGTTGAATCTTGGGTCCATTATTGGCCAAAGCTAATACAGGAACAAAACAGAAAAGGTATGTGCAGTGTTTAATTCATTGTTGCATCCATCCTGTTCTGACCACCAGGATAATCGGTTGACACTTGATAGCTGGAGTGCTCTGATAGGAGCTTGTGCATTGGATTGTACATAAAGCCTTACTGCCTCAGGCTCCCGGCTGAGGAACTTCAGTAAGGGCAAAACCTGAACTTTTAAGAGAGCTCATGCAGATTGTAGGTACTTACCTTTGCTGGGGGATATTTCAGTCTGTTCAGCCATCAGAATGCCAGATCTGACATTGGACTGCGCTTTGCTTCAGTGGCATGGGACACCAGCTCCTCTGGATGTAATGAATGGGAGTAAACGTGCTGGGAACAGCACAGAGATGAGATTTGAGGAAATTATTAGTGCAGAATTCTTAGTTTCTCTGAGAACTTCAGCCCTGGTTTTGCTGTTATTTAAAGGGCACTCTGTGGCTGTGCTAAGCTTGACAGAATATAAATATTACCACTTCATATTCAGGATTCATCTTCTAGAGAGAAGAATATTAGCTGGGTTTTTTTTTTTAATCATGAGGGAATGTATTTAAGCTGTAGTTACCTCAGTGCTTCTATTTCTTGGAGTATTAATACATTAATCTCAAAAATAAGAACATTTGGCACTTATATTGCACTTTGCATGTTCTTAAGCACTGTACAGACATTACCTTGTTAGGCCTTTGTGAGAGGGTTGATCAGCCCTGCTTGCCAAAGAAGGGGAACTCGGCACAGCCAAGCTGCTGGCAGTGAAACAAGATGCAAAGGTGGGAAGTTCTGTAAAGAAAAGAGGGATGAGAATATATCCAGCTTGAGGAACCTTTCTGTGCCTTCCTGGGCTGCCCGTTCCTTACTTTGCGGGGGGTTAAAGCCCTGCCTTACTGTGTATTTCAAAGAGAGGGAGACATAAGTGAGCAGGATAATTCCTTGAGGAAATGGGTGTCAGTAGCAAATGGACTTAAGGACCAAGAATTTGCATTTGTTTACTCTGTGTCTGCTCCCCTGTGCCTCTACCTTTCCCCAGAAGTGCTTTGTATGAGGTTTTGCTGCAGACTGGAAATCAGGAGCAGGATGTTTCCATATGGGTAAAAACAGGGTGTACACTCATTAAGTTTTGTCTTTGTGTGACTTTATTCAGAGGCACAGAAACAAAATGTTGTGAGGCAGAAAGGCAGAACCTTGGTCCAGTACTGTATTTAGACATCCTATTTGTCTGTGTTCCCAACTCAGAGATGTATTTCAGCACAAGCTTATGTCCATCTCTGGACAAAGCAACTTGACTTTCTGAACTAGCCTGAATCTCATTGTGTTCCCATGTAAAATATAACTGCATGCTTAAAATTCAGTACATGGTTTGCTGATTTAAGAACAGGCTGTTAGAGCGAGAACACTTAAGCTTCAGTAAGATGGCTCTTAGCATAATGCAGGAATAAATCAATTAATAATAGTGAGGTTCTAACTCCTGCATTTTTTGCTTCTAATGTGTTAGAGAAATTGCACCTGTGGGCACTCGTTAGTAAAAAAAAGAACAAAAAATCCCAGTATTTGCCGGGAAACGCCCTGCAGCGAGGTCATTATTGCTGCCATTAACATTACAATCACTGTCTCCCTAGTACTCAATACTCCTTAAGCTGTACACTTGCCTGGAAGGATTTTGTCTGCTTCCCTTTTATTCCGCACTCCTGCTTGAAACAAGTTGAGCAGAGTCGTAGCTGAATGTCGGAAGGGCACACACACACGAGTATGAATGCATTGTGGAGGAGTAGGTGCCGGCCGAAAACGCTCTGCGTGTAGGAGAAAAATTCCAAGGCACGTGTGGAAGCACTAAATCGATAGTATTGTGTAAAAAGCACGTTTTTCACACAGGTACTGAGACAAATGCAGCCTTCAGGCAGGTCAGGGGGATTGCAAGAGTTTACACCATGGCTGAATTCGGCTGCCAGTGTTAATGTCACTAATCTGTTATTTACTGTAAATGTTGTTCATATTTTTGTAGACACGTTATAACCCTTCCATAACTGTTGTTACCGGAGTGGTTCTCTCACTTGAGTTGTCATTAACAAAAGCAGTAATTGAGAAATGCACACGTTTTGTAAAACTGTATTTTCCATCTTAAATACAGAAGAGAAAAAGAAAACAACTTATTTCTGGTTCCTGATGGTCTGTGGTGGTTGTTTGTATTGTTATTTCCGCTTACATTCATTTTTAAGTATTTTACTTATAAAAGTTTGTCCGGCTGGCAGGAAGAGCGTGTCAGCTGCGGCGGGTGAAGCCGTTTCCAGGACAGGGAGGTGTCCCGGGTGGAGCACGGCTCCCTCGGCACCGGGCAGGCTTTGGGAGCGCGGGCGCGCCGGCTGCGGCACCGGGGCGGGGCCAGAGGCCACGCCCTCGAGACAACGCCCATCGCCGTGTGGCCACGCCCCTTTAGTGTCTCCCCTCCCGCCCTCGAAGGGGATCGCGCAGAGCAGCGGCGATTGGCTGTCGCTCCCCATGCCCTGCCCCTTCCCCTCGCTGATTGGTGGGAGCGCCGGCCCGGCGGGATTGGCTGGTTCAAAGGGGGGGGCGCGGCCGTACTGCTCGGCCATGGAGGCTGTGCCGTGCGCCGAGCACGGTGAGGGCCGGCCCGGGGTCCCCATGAGGGCGGGTGTGTGGGGGGCTCGGCCTGATCAGTTCCGCGCTTCTCCGCTCCGCAGGGTCCCTCTGCTTCCTAAAAACCGGTGTCCGCGATGGCCCCAACAAAGGGAAGAGCTTCTACGTGTGCGGGACGCAGGGCCCCGATGCCTGCAGCTTCGTCCTCCCAGCGCCGTAGGTGCAGGGCAGGGGCGGCAGGAGGGGGTCGATGGGACAGGGGATACACTTGCCTGTCCTGAGGGAAGTTCACTGCCGTGACACCAATCGCAAGCTTGTTTTCTTACGTAGCCTTTGTTTATCGTAGGTGATTGTTTTGCGGTGGCAGTTTCCTGGGCAGTTCGTCTTGTCTGTATTCTTCCGCTTTCCTCCTTTCAGGGTTCCTGCTTCTCACTGCTTGATCCATGAGGGGTGCGTGGTGGAGCTGCAAGTCCTGGTTCAGCAGCCGGACAGAGATGAATACCAGTAAGTTCCTCAAATTTTTTAAAACCGGGATGTCTGCCTTCAAACGGGTGAAACCTATATTTCTTCTTCCTTCTTTGTCCTATGTTCAGTGCTTAAAATAATGTTCTCAAACGGATTCTGACTCATGGTCGGTTAGTTTTTACAGTTACACGTCAGAAAACCTGAATCTCGTGATTAAGTAGTTTTTCTGTAATGAGGATTTAACATCCATCTAAGCTGTACCCGTGTTCTTTGGGGAAGAGCGGGCTCTTTTTAGAGTATCTCATTTTTATGGCACCTTTGAAGACTTCCATTGTAGGATGCTGCCTCTTAAAAATAAAGATTGTTATTCTTAAGATCAAGAGGATCTTAGCTCTCCTTATTATTTATGAACAAGTGAGATAGTTGAACTACCAGTCATTCAAAGTGGAAACAGGGGTTTATTGCACATGTTGAAATATTTTGAATTGTTTGATTCTGACTGACTTGGCAGTTTCCTTCTAAAATGGAAGAGGGTCATTGAGCCCTGAGGCCTTCACTTACCCTTTTTCCAAATGATTGCCACTTTTATTAGCAGTTACATCCAATAGTATAAACTTAGGTCATCAGATAATTTTTGTTTTTAATAGAATTGAACATGGCTCTCTGGTTGGGTTCATCCAAAATCAGCATCAAATTCACCAGTGTTAACTCTGATTGCAGCAGTCCTGGTTGGCTGCTAGTTTAAGAAAGAAAAACAATATCCAAAGTATTTCTGTCCCCGAGTTGTTATAAAGACGAGGTGGCCTGTGCAGTGTAATTAAAAGAAGAGCTGTCTCCTTGCACCTAGAAATCATAAGATGCTTCTAAGGCTCTAAACATAGATAGCATTTTTGCCTGAGCAGTTACTCTTCTGTTGCTAAAATTAAAAAAAACCCCAAACCCTAGGAATCTTTATTCAGAGAACACTACTCCTGTAAAAAGCTCTGTTCCTAGTGTTCATGGCCTTTTGTTATGCAAAGGTATGAATGTAAAGTACAGATTAACAGAACTTGTCTGTAATGGTTTTTGGTGCAAAGTACTTCTAAAAGAATGCTTAGAGCTTCTTTACTGGCTCCTGGGATTGAAATCTTGTTTTAATCCTTGTTAGGTTATTTTACCGGTGCCTTAAGAGTAAATTGAATGGGAAGAAATGGTGTGGAAGCGTCCCATGGCAGGTATGAGTGTCCTGTTTGTATTGTAGTATCACTTTATTCTGGCATGACTTTTCATTCCTTATACCATAATCACCTCTGAAATTACTTACTCGGAGATTCTATATTTTCCAGTTAAGAAGTGTATCAGGCCTGCTGTCCTCTAGATGAGAATTATCTTTCTCCTGAGTTGTGTGAGGTACTCGCTATTCTTCAGTCTTAGAAGAAACTTGGATTTGATTTCTGGCTGTCCTCTTTTGTAGAGATTGTGCTACTGGGACTTGGTTCCAAAAAAAAATGGGAATGGCAAAGAAAGTTGAAAACCAGCCTTTCTGTTTTGGATTTCTTATGAAATGTTTATCCTGATTCTATTAAAATGATAGGAAAGATGACTTTGGTAGAGGATGAAGTCTGCTTGAGGTGATCAGGTTGTGTGTGTTATTAACAGACTTTAATAATTTGAACATTGGCATTTATTTCCATGTACATATTGCAGGATCCAAAAGTTACCAAAGTGTCAAAACCCTTGGAAACCCAGCCCAGGACACTACCTTTCTTCAATCCCACTAGCCAAAGAAATCCATTCAAAGTACTAGACAAGAATTGTGCTCCATCATCCTGGGAACAAATGAAGCAAAGAAATGGAGAGGAAAGTAAAGCAAAAGGAGTTAAAGCAGACAATGAGTGTGTGCTGGTGTCACATAAAGAAAAGAAATCAACCTCTGATTCCTCCATAAAGACAGTACCTCTAGAAGAGCTCAAAAATAAAAAGAAATCTCCCACAGGAAGTAAAAGTGACCTAGAACTTCAGCAGACTACAGTGTCTCAATCTAAACTTTGCCTTTCTGAGACCAGGAAAGGGAAAAATAGACTTTCAGAGGAAGAGAAATATGGTGGCAGTGGCAGGGAATCCTGGAAGCCCTCTGATTGTGTGGACAAGGAGCCAGGAGCAAGATCAAAACTCTTGCCACTAAGTGTTGGAAAGCAAACTACAAGTACCAAGCCTCCGGGGGAGGAGCAGCTGGGAGGAAAAAGCTTAAAAAGCTGTAGGGATAAAGAAACAAGAGAGAAAGATTGCACTGGTCAGAAGAATGGTGAAATGAAACCAGTGTCTAAGGAAGATACCACTTCCTCAGCAGGAGCACAG